TAAATCCATAAATTGGGGTAAAAAAAAAATATTTCAATTATATGAGCGACAATGTATTTACAGAAGAAAAAAAAAATAATGAAATTAAAATTACATGGCAACAACTGATAAAAATGTTGTCTAGTTACAATCATCAATATAATTATGCAGATAAAATACATTTTTGAAAATCTAAAAAAGTTATATACAATTGTATCATTAAGATTGAATACCCATAAAATTGGAAATCTTCTGGTAACTATAGATTATTATTCAAATTCTTTCAAATTAATTTTTTGTCAGTTATTTTACTAGGTTTCACGCACGAATTCAGAAAATTGTTGTGTAAATATCTAGAGGGAAATATAAACCAGATATATTTCTCAACATAGTCTCCAGACCTGAATACGTAGGCATGTACAATGTATGAACAAGTTGGCCAGGATGTCAATTATTGTTCACCTATCATTTTATTTAAAGGAAATGGGCTAGTTCTCTACCAGAGTGAGGGTATAAGCTTCCTTTGCCTCCCTAGCTGCCATTCTCTTTTCGAATTTAGCTCTTTTAACTTTTCCCCTGTCTATTTTCGAATAATCCACTGCATGCTAGGATTGTCATTGACATTGTATGGTTGGTTTAGAGGGGCCCGCCCCTGGGAAAGGTGGGTCTCGAGCCATGTGATACAGGGAACGTAGTAATCCCACACTTCGGTACGGGAGCATGCAGGTGGATTCTGACTTTCTTGTAACATGGACCTACTACGAATCAGGTCCATACCTGTAAGTATCCGCTTGTTTTCTTTCTGATTGTCTTTGAACCATGGGTGTCAAGACACCCGTCAAGTCATGGTCAAACTTTGACCATGCATCTAGGTAACAGCTAGGTTTTAAAAAACAAAACATCTACTCTAGCTTGAGAAGGAACCCAAACTCCTTCATCACCAACTGTTGTGCCACGGCATTCCGTTGGATCAGTGATTTCCCTCATTCAGTCGCGCGCTGATCAGCACTTATACAGTCATAGCGACGGCGAAACAATTATTTCACGAAGTGACGGTATCGTCACGCAAATTGTATCTTTCCTCATCCTCTATGTATAATAAAATATTGTTTGTGTACCTGTAAGATCAATAATAGTTTTACTCAATGCCAGGGACGCATTTCTTTTCTTTTTAAATCGTATAATGTATATTTATACACTTGTTTGGTATGTATCATTCTGTTGTGTCACGACTTTGTCATTTTTAAAGATAAACTTGAGTTCTGGTAAAAAAAGAAAATGAATTCTCACAGAATCTAACGAAACTTACACTGAATGTTCAAGATTACAAAATAAATGTCATGTGCCAAACAATTTTGGAAGAAAATGTATACTGGCTGAGTAATGAGCATAGAAAGATAAGGAAATCAGGGTAGTACTAGCCCCGACACCATGTGTGTTGTCCCATATACATCTTTCTGTGTAAGTGATTGTTACTTTACCAAGACTCTGCCAAATTTATGACGATTTTGATGACTATAGAACCTTTCATTACACACCATTACTTACATGCTATATGATCAACTTTTCTGATCCATTCCACACCTTTTCTTTCACAATGCAATCGCATTACCAGAACTTAAGTTTATCTTTAAACCAATGGAAATGTATTTCTGTTAAAATGACATATGAATAAATAAATTCAATATTAAATATATAAGCTATTATAAAGTGATGGTATATTGAATTAGTTGTTCGTATTGAAGAATAAAAATAAGTAGAAATGGTTTTCTTGTAAATATATACTTAGTTCCCTGGGTGTACTGTTGACTAGTTCTTGATATTCAGTCTCTTATGGTAAAAGAAATGGATTTTCATATATATATACATGTATATTTCTTGGTAGAGGCACATTGAAATTTATGATAATGAACAGTAAAGAGAGAGTTGAATTCTAAATTTAGTTTTATTATTATTACTATAATGTTTATTATTGTTATTAGTATCATTATTATTATTATTTATCAATATTATGATATTGTTCGTAGTAGTATTAGATGTAGTAATATCAACATTATTATCATTTTTGTATTGTGTGACTACCCTAATTGTGGGTATCTTTTAATATTGTATTTAGAGAAGAAAAAAGGTGTTCATGATGGCTTTTCACTTTTGTTTTAATATCTATATCTTTATGTTTGTTTTGCAGTGTTAAGATTCCTTAAATCTACTCTCCCTAACCTAAAATCTTCTCAAGTTGGATACAACAGTTAGTGTATCTATATATGTTTCCAATATCACAGTAATATTCCTTTTTAGCAATTACACACATTGTTGTCATGATAATGTTTCTTGTATATTCATATAAAACACATTGCATTTGCTGCTCCTCGCAATCATTGTAAATTATCGATTAAATCATGATCAAACATGCTTTTATGCACAAGTGCAACGGATTATGGCATCTTTTATTTCTCTAATTCATTTTTGCATTTCGTAATTTTCACATTGTTCGATTAGAAGCTAGCAGCACCTACAATGGTTATAAAGAAAAAAAACACGTTTCCACCTTTTAACTGAGATATTATCACGTTTATCATAATTGCATGGCGGCAATCTTTCAGATTGAAGAAGTTTTAGAATTCCAAAGATACATATTAAATATAGGCCTACAGTCAATACAGAAAATGTTTTGTCTCCAAAACGAAGATATTTTCGTAAACTCACTCTACAGTATCGACATAGTACTGAGAGAGAGAGAGAGAGAGAGAGAGAGAGAGAGAGAGAAAGACAGAGGGAGTTGCAGAGGGAGTTGCTTGATCCATTAGATTAGATATGATACATACATAATAATAATGGCTGAGGTGTACATAATTATAAATGTGGAACATTCATCTATAAATTATTCGATATACAGTATTTATAAGACTAACGACATGAATAAGAGGGGCAACGGGAAATTACCCCCTCTCTAATAATCAGTCAGCATTTTTCATGAGCTAGATTATGATTAATCTTAACACTGAGATACCAACATTTTCGGAAAAAATCAACCGTACAATGGAATGAATAAAAGGTTAAGAAATTAGGATAATGCCCGAGATATCCGTGTATCATGTTAAATCACAATAGAGGAAGTAAGTATAAGCCAAAGGAGAACTTTCATCTTGATCGAAATGAGTACGATATATGGGAATATTACGGCTATTAACAATCTGTAGAACATCTTTCAGAAGACATGGGTGCACGGATAATGACTGATGACAGTGCACAACATGGAAATATGATTAAGGCTAAAGACTATTGAGATGAGTGGGATAATGTTAAATATAACATCCATCCGATGAATGAGATGGATAGGACAAAATGGTCGCATTCAGGTACAAATATTCTGAACAACATCTTCTTGCAAATGACGGAGATGATTATGCAAAATGATGATGACTCTGCCATTCCGATTAATGTAGAATGTCAGATATACGTGACAAACAAGGTAAGTTAATCCTATAATAAATAGAACATCTTTACCCTAGTTTCATTTCGGTTAAGTTAATTGGAACATGGGTAATGAATAAATCCATTATCCGGCTTCATTATTCATTTCTTACAACGAATGACAGGCCTGGGAGAGTGAAAGAGATATTATAATAACCATAATGGCTTCCTCCTGAGTTTATTTACTTATTTATTCATGTCTTCTTTAAAAAAAAGCGGCGTGGTCCCATTCAAGCCGCAAGGCCTGCTTTTCGACGGAGCCCTGCTGTAACAAACAAATTACATTTCAAATATCTTACAATACACATAAAAATACACAAAATATACAATTATAGTATATTTTGTGTATTTGTATGTGTATTGTAAGATATTATTATCATTTGTGCATTGTGCATGGGGAGTAAAATGATATCACAAAGGTTACAAAAAACTAAAACGTGTATACACCCAGGTCACGAAATGGAGGAAAAAAATATGAGCTGTACCAATTTGGAGTGTTAAATTAATCAAGATGAGTGGTAAAAAGGAGTGGCTATATCCCCTTAAAATCTTTATAATTTTTCTCGCAAATGAATATTTAAAATACAAGGTTTGTATTTTTGGTAATTATTTGCCTGTTACATTAAACACAATAAAATGAAAGTTACAAAAAAAAAACACAATGTAAAAATAATGAGTAAATAAGTATTTGGTAATGAAGAGGAGACCCGTTGAAGAGATAATTAATTTGAAATTAATTAATTTAGCTAAAACTGTTGGTAAAAAAATATATGAAACAATACAATGGCAAAATTTAGGCCAAAAAAGACATACTGACAGGGACGTGTATATTGAGGAAGCAACAACTCTCTTTGAAGCGGTTACTATAGTGATAAGGTCTCGTACATCCTTGCCATCAGTGGCTTGACGAGGGCAAATATTCGCCCATTAGTCCAAGAGGCCAGAACATCCAAGTTAGTTCTAGTAAAGAGAGTAACATTAAAATTCTTAAATAATCCCTGATAATGTATTGATCACCAGTTGTCTAAAAGTTATTTCCACTCTGAGGTTCCGCTTATATAGTAGGTGCCTCTTTAGTATTTTGTTGATATGCCCCCCCCCCCCCACACACACACACACACACACTTTGGAAGACGCTCCGCCCCTGGCCTGTAAAGTATGCAGAGAATTGGTATTTACTCTTTTTATTAGAAAAATAAATGAAAAAATGAAATGCATGCTTGCAAGAATCGTATTGCAAAAATTGCCAAACGGACTTTTATAACAAACGATAGTTGGATTTAAGATTCTTTGAAAAACTAAATAGGCCTACCAACACGATATATTTTCGAAAAAATTAACTCAATTATAAAGCATAGCTCAACAAGGTCTTCAAATATTTATGAAATATTGCGTGCAAACTAGTTAGTTTCTTCAAAGATAAATATTAAATCAACTGACAACGTTCAGGATATACCTGTCTAGTCATGATCTGTCCGGCCGGACAAGTAGGCCTACATACAGAACGTCTGGGTTGGGTAAAACCCGTTTTGTATTGTAAATAAACTATCGTGCATGACGTAAACCTGTATACCGCGCCCGTTAACATCGAGAATCTTCTGCGTTGACTACGGACTGAATTTATCTTTATTCATCCAGTTGTGTCCCTAAAATTGCGAATATTTCATCTTTTGAAAATTCTCAAATGGAATGACGTTTTGTGTTTCTAAACCTTTGTTTATATTAAATTTTTAAGGTCGACGTCGAATACAAAACATTAGTTGCAGACGAAGGGAGACCGGACAGAAATGAACATTAAAATGAATGCAACGGAGCTGAAAGAACAGGGCAATCGCTTTTTTGGATCACGTAAATATGAAGAAGCCATTGGTTGTTATAACAAGGCCATAGTGAGTATATTATACATTTTTTTTAAAGCATAGATGTAATAAAGAAAATAATCCATAAAATCGCGATTGTAATCGGTGATCAAATAATCAACATCAGACTCACCATTGTCCCACATGCAGACATTTGTGTAGGCCTTTAGGCCTAGGAGGTCTACACTTCATAAAAACGACCGTGCTAGTAATAATATTAATAGGCAGCAATTGCACACATGAATAGTCAATACACACAAATGCACACAATAAATAGGATGTGGCTGATTGGCAAGTTTGACAGTCTAGACTCGTGTCACGATTTGAATTTTTAAATTATTCTTTCTAACGTGCATCGATAAGAATTTACTAGTCTAAGATATTTTTCTGAATTAGTCTAGGGTAGTGCGCCCAGTATTCGGTCAACACATTGACATTCAGTGCTTTATCGCGCAATTGTGTGAAAATAGTGCGCAAATACGCTTCACTCCTGACCTTGGCGACGGAGATACCACGCACAAATCGCACGACCGAATTCTGGGCAGAAAAATGCTCCGTCTTCTTTCGGAAGTATTTTGCTTATTATCATTCTATATTTTTATTTTTAGTGACTAAACGTTGGTGGAATAAATTTCTTTTCTTTTGATGGATAGACTAGATTGCCAAATAAAAGAGGTAAGAATTCAAAATATTAGCGATTTCCCCTTAAGTGACCGAATACTGGGCGCTCTACCCTACATGTATTTCAGTGAAATGTATTGAATGCTCAGAACTGTGAACCTCTCTGTTTTGTGATTTTTGTCACTTCACTTTTCGGAGGTCGCCGAGTTCATCGCAGTCGAAGGGGTAGGCTGTGATGTAAATATACGACATAGACTAGATCTAGTCCTTAGTTGGAGGGTATGGAGTGCAGGTAATGGGCATGAATTTTATATAGTCAATGAAGTGCCATCTACAAAATAGAATCATTGAGAGTGCAGGGAAGGGATAGATCATATGGCAAGATAATGGCACCAGTCAGATAAAAAGGGGTCCTGGGTATTGAGCAGGGGTGTATTGGGTACAGATTCAAGGACATTACGCAGGAGTCTGCTAACTCTGTGGGTAAGGTCTTCAAATAGGTTGACAGTATCTGAACAGGCAGCCATGATGTGAACGAAGGTATCCTCCTCAAGATTTCATAAAGGACACTTAGTGCTGGTTGCTTTCTTAATTTTGGTGATGCGGGTTTGGGTGAGGTAGGTACATGTACATGTAGATGTGAGGAGCTGTGCTCTAATGGTCAGTGCCTGTCTAATTATTGTTGATGGTGGATCTTTTGGGTTGATTAATTTTCCATGCCAGAATGTGAGGAACGTCTTGGGGGCAGCTCCTTCCTGTGTAGCTTCCTCGGCTGCAGCAGAGATTGAGTTGTTAACTCTGCGTTTCCAGGAGATGTAGGGAATGGGATCTGTTATTAGGTTCTCAATGGTTGGAAGCTTGTACACAGCCAGAATAACTTTCAGGCTTTCACTGAGGGAGTGCAAATGCTGAGGGCATGTATAAAAGTCTGACGCTCTAATCTAGTAGTGTTGAGTTCCAATAGTTGGCCAAGCAGCAGCTGTAGTTTCTCTTGGTCAAGTAGATGACTGATTGGTATGAGGCCTCTTTGGAGGAATACACTCTCATCGGCAGTCATCACAGGAATGCCTAAGATATTTTCATGAACCTCCTGCCTGGTTTGATGAAAATCCCAAAAATTAACCTTCAGGAAAACAAGTAACCCTCAAATTAAATATGTTTACTTTGTACCGATGGCTCTATCCATTCCCTTCGTTTTATTTGTATTTATCATGTATTTGTTTTTCTAGAGCAAAAACCCATCAGATCCCAAATTCTTTACCAATCGAGCCCTTTGTCAGATAAAGCTGAGACATTGGGATTGCGGTGCAGAGGATTGTAGACATGCTTTAGAGCTTGATCCTTCTCACATCAAGGCACATTTCTTCCTTGGACATACCCTAGTAGAAGATGAGAGATACGATGAAGCCATCACAAGCTTCCGCAGAGGTTTGTTTCTTTTATATTCATTTTTTTATTATGCTTTTAATGATGCAAAATATTATGGAGAGTTCACAGATAAATACAAATTTGTAGACTCTCACAGAGAGTTGTGATGGTCCAATCAAGTGGCTAAATGTGCCAAGATCATGATTGGTTGAAGTGGAATTTAAAGCCCAAAGAGAACTGAACATTATCCAATATTTTTAGTGTTTGATCGTAGAATAAATCGAACAAAGTGAAGCTCGAAGTGTGATTTGGGATTTATAGTTTTAATGTTTTAAATGTTTTTTATTATTCAGAATATATGATTCTGATTAACTTTGGCAAGTTAGTTAAGTAGATTAGGATATGATGGATAACTTTTTTTTTAAATGATACTGATTGAGTTAAAAATATTACTGATATTTTACAAGTACCCACTTTGACCTTTAGGCCAAATGAGAAGAATAGTAAACTGTTCCCAAGCTATCCCATAGATTGAACTCAGGGTGATACTGTAGGTGTCTTTATACATCCAACTCTTACTATTATATTCCTTGTATAGCACATGATCTCGCCAGAGAACAGAAAGTGAATTTTGGGGATGACATAGCTGCTGCACTAAGGTCAGCTAAGAAGAAGAGATGGAACATTTTAGAAGAAAAGAGAATTACACAGGAGATTGAAACACAGACACATCTTATGACACTCATGGAGGAAGAAAAACGAAGGTAAGTTTGTAAAGTATAGTCTTATAATCCCTTTCTGCTTCTTAATCTCTCTCTCTATGTCTCCCTTTTCTCTTTCTCTCTCTCTCTCTCTCTCTCTCTCTCCCTCTCTCTCGTTTCTCTCTTTTGTAATCTACCCTTCCTTTCAGTTTTAGTACATTACTCTTTTATTCATCAAGTGTTTGCTACATACATGTATGCATTTTTCTGATTATTTTTAAACAGTAATAATATGATTGTTGCTTTATTCATTTGAATGAATACCGGTATATGATAAGTGAAAGTATTGATGGTTCAATAACGACAATATGGGGTGGTCTTCTGAATACTAGTAGTCTTTTATGTTAGTACAAGTATATTGTCATTTGTCAACAAATCTAAATGAAGACAAATCATACGGGTAATTTTGTTTGCAAAGTGGCTGTGTGGATAAACACTGCAAAAAAATGAAATGGAAGCTCTTATTACCAATCATGTGAAAGAATATGTTTTGACTAATAAGTGATGATACAAATTTTGCAGAGAAACCGCCTACTAATTGATATATTTGGTAAGGGTAAATTATTATATCTATTTGGACCTGGTAGATATCGCGCAAGTGTCGCGTGGTCCCATATACATCTTTCTGTGTACAGTGCTTGTAACTTTACCAAGACTGGGCCTAATTTCTTATCATTTTGATGATTCCAGAACCTTGCAGTACACACCAATACTTATATGGTAGATGATCAACTTTTTCTGATCGATTCCACAACGTTTCTTTCACAATGCAATCGCATGACCAGAACTGGTCTTTATCTTTAACATACTTTTTACTAACAAAAAATGTAGCATACATTTTTCAGAATATGGACACATCCAGTTTTGTAAGTAAGGAGAGGGATCCCTCTTTTGTGTTGGGTTTTATATTAGGTATAAATGAATCATTATATAATGTACAGGTGTAGAAGGTTTTAAAAATACCTCTTGAAAGCAAATTGGCATCTTCCCTTGCTTTAATAGGCACCAGCTACATACATGTAAGCAGTTATATGAGGCATTATTTTTTCATTCCCAGTAATCAAATTTAGTTTACTTCAAGAGCAAATGATTTATTTTATTTTAGCCATTCTGCATTCTGCCTCAATCGGACATATTTTGTATATTTTGAATGTGTGTTTTGATTTTGCCAGGAAAATTGATGCATTGAAAGAAAAAATAGGTGAAAAAGATGGAGAAGAAGACAAAGACATACATACAGATGCTACAAAGAAGATTGAAGAAGACTTTGTAAGTTCTTCTGTAAAACTTGTCTTTATGTTTCATAGTGTGTGGTTTTTATCTCAATTTTTAAACAACTTCTGATGTTTAGTTCATAGCACAGTAGTGCCTTTAAATACAAGTTAAGTTACATATATTGTACTTGTTATCACATTGGTAGGACCAGTCCTTAATACCTATTTATGATGGATACACTTTTTTTGTACATTTGTTGTAGCCATGTTTTGCAAAATTTCAGCCCTCAGGTCCACTTTGTTTATGTACAATGTATGAATGTATGTAATCAGTCGTATTTCAAGATAATCTTATTGTTTTTGTTTTGTTTTATAATGCTTCATAGAATTTAATGTATTTCTATTGGTATCTAGGACACATGTCACGAATCCGTCATTTGATGTAGTAGTGAAGCATGAGCATTATTTTTTGAAACTTACCTAATATCATATTTAAATCATGCTCTTTGCTATCTCAAGAAAATAAAAGATAATAAAGCCAAAATAATACATATTCCATGATTCTATTAATATTTGCCTGCCCAAAATAAACTTTGCATATTCTCTAGTTCATTGCATTAATTCATTACAGCAAATTTCCTCTCTTTTTTAATCTTTCAGGAAAGACATCAAAAGGAACTAAATAGACTACTGGCTACAGTAGATGAAAGGAGACAGGTAGGCTGTTTTATTCTTACCCTGTTTGTGCCCGTTTCTTTCACATCCTCTCTTTTCTCTCTCTTTCTCTCTCTCTCTCTCTCTCTCTCTCTCTCTCTCTCTCTCTCTCATTCAGGATTGTGCCTTTCATGAAGTTGTACATTAAACACACATGTATTTGCAATGACGAACCTTCGTCATTGCCTTGTTTTCGTTCACATTCTGCCCCATTAATATTCTCCTCCTCCTTTTCCTTGTTTTCCTTATCGTCCGAAAATCACATTCGTTTTGCACATAGTGTTTGTTATTCCTAGTTAGGTGCCTTCATCATGTCCATTTCCTTTCAAATTCCGTAGGCATCATCTCTAGCATCTCATCCAGGTCACCTACTTTTTCGTTTTCTGAAATCACTCATGCGTAAACGTCCAGGCGCCATTTTGTCCTTTTCTGGTCCATTTTAAGGCCTTTCTATCTTCCTTCCTATCTCCACTATCCTAGATCCTACAAACTTCTAACAAATTTCTCTAGATAGTCTAAGAGATGTTCTTTAATCTGCTACTTATAACCTGCCCTTCAAAATGCCATCTTCATACTCAAAATTCAAATCTGAAACCGACTCCGTCAAAAATCTCTCAAGTTCTTGAAAAATGGACCCCTAAATAATCTAAAACTGCCATAACTTTCTCATATAAATTCCGTTTTGTATTTAAATCTCACAGTATCTTTATCTCATAATTGCACATAGCCACGCCAAATTTCACGCTCCAATGGCTTTGCACAACATAAATAGCGCCCTCTAAAGTTCTGGGAATTGGCTTTCTGTCTGTGGCCGTATCTCCATAATGGCTTGGCAAACCCGTACCCTTTTTTGGATTTAGATACTTGAAGATATGCCCTTTCCAGCCATATACAAAATTATATACCCTATCACTGACCAAATTTGAGAAAATTGCCCTCCAAATAAGCCATTTTCAAGAAAATTGAGAAATAACTTCAACTTGCTCTAAAATGGCGATCGTTATACCTACATCAATGAAACTTTGCAGACATATGTATCCATATACGTGACAACTGTTTACCAAGTTTGGTAAAATTCGAATATGTCAGCGCAAAGTTATCGCCAAAAATGATGAATTTACTATGCATTACGTAATAGCGCCTTTAATACGTGCAGTACATTGCGTGCAGATGACAATGGTGTCAAACTGACCGCAATGAAGTGCCCTTTCGAATGATACCAAGTATGGTATATGTTTACACAGAAAATTGTGAGTAAATCGCATTTGAACAAGGGTCACTATACGAATTCCGCCCGATTATAACACTTATCGGCCATGACGTCATTTTTTTCAGACTACTTTTCGCCCCCTAAACATCCTTTTTTTTCCTTGAAAATTTGCAATGACATTCCGAGATGCAATACGCAGGGCACCTCGTGGCCGGATTCTTGAAATTGGTCAAGGGGGCCATTTAAGACGCCATTTTGTCCTTTAAATCTATTTTACATCACATGTTTCGATAGGATTATCATAGAAAAAAAGAGAGTAGTTTACAATAACGACCATGAAATTCTCTTTCCAATGATACCATATACGGCCCATAAAGAGACATAAAGAGAGAGAGAAAAAACAATTTAACTCCGGTCATAATACAGATCCTCTACGTTTTCCGCCCATGCATTACACGCATTGTCTATGGGGCAAATCGGGTTCACGCTTTTGACCCCTAGAACGATCTTGTTTGCAATGACGAACGTGCAACTAATCCCATTTGGTTTTGCACGCAGTGCTTGCGAGCCCTTTCTAGGTTGTTTCCCCTATCCCAATTTCTTTCAAACATCGTAGGCATAGTCACTACCATCCCATCAAGGTCACTATTGAGGCCTTTCTTTCGCCCTACCTGTCTCCAATATTACAGAAGCTAAAGACTTCGTACAAATTGCTCTGGATAGTCCGAGAGAAGCTCTTTCGTTCGACACGTAGAAACACGGCGTCATTGCACGCACATCGTTGTGACACGATTGCATTTCTAGTTTCAATTTAGCATTGTTCTGACATGTATTGGTGGAGTGTAACACTGAAGATCCTGTGGACTTACTTTAATAACATAATGCCTTTATAAAAATGCACTTACTATTCTCCATATTTCCTGAGTCCAACTCTCTTTTATTTTTTTATTTTTTTTATTTTTTAATTTATTTATTTTTATTTTATTTTTTTATTTTTATTTATTTATTTATTTATTTATTTTATTTTATTTTATATATTTTTTTTTTTTTTTGGGGGGGGGGGGGTAGTGTCATCTCTTAGAGGCTTTTTTTTTCTTCTCTTTTTCTGTTTCTTTTTCTTTTGTTTCCTCTTTCTTTTTAATCTGTAGTAAAGCGAGTTAGATTTAAAAGCAATGTTTTAAATAAAAGCTAGTTTCAAACTTAAAAATCAGAGTGTGGTCTCTACATATAGTTTGCCAAAAGTTACAGAATTAAGAATCTCCGGTATCGGTGAAGCCGAGGATTGAAAAATTATTTTGTTCTTTCGTGCATGTTGTGTTATGATTATATCAAGAATATTTTCATTTCATCTTCTATTGGGTTTACATGTACAAGTACGTCCTGCAATTTCAAGTCAACAGAACATTTGAGAAGGATATTACCTCACGTGTCAGCTAGTTACTTGTATTACCCTGCCAGCTCTCAACAGATAAGCTTTGATAAACATGTGTACGTGATCCCCTAGTCCACTCCTAGTCCACTGCCTGGAATATTTCTGTGTCACGCGCCCAATCAGCTGAGAAAATACACATGAAACACGCTAAAACAGATACACTCATTTCATTCTTACCCTGGACGCACGATCAGTACAGACATTGCGCTGTGTGGGATGCTAGTAAGGGAGGAGAACAAAGGTTATCAAAGAATTTAAAATATATAAAAACAGACAGAATTTGGACTTGTGGTCACCATGTATTGATAATAAATTGGATTACTATAGTGTTTAATTCATTACAAATGTTTCTAAGCACTTAACATCAATTTTTCAAAACATTCAAAAGAATCTTACATAATTAAAGAAATTAATGACTTATAAACTAGATTTACAAAGGAAGTAGCAAGCAATGTCCGACAAAACATAGGGAATGGTCAATATTAAAAAGTAAGAATATACCAACTACCAAAGTTAACGAAATACTACACGCAATGCATTCTGAAAACTAAGGACAATTTCAAGTATAGAATCAAGTAGATCATGATGATACATGTACATGTACTGAACACTAGTACTACATGAAACCTGAACCATAATAAAACAGTTATAGGTAGGCACTCATCTCCAATTCCCACTGGCACTCCCCATGAACATGACCAATTAGCCTTTGTACAAACTCAGAGAAAGTGAGGACAAGGAGAGGTGGGGGGGGGGGGGGTAAGAAGAGAAACGGTTGTATCATGAAATTGTATGTCTTTGTGTGTGTGGGTGTGTGTGTGTGTGTGTGTGTTAGAGAAAGAAAGGGGGAGATCAGATGGTATACATGTAAAGAACGAGCAGAAGAGAAAGAGAAAAAGAAAAGAGAAAAAAAGAAAGATTTAAAGTGAGGTATAGGGAAAGAATAATTATGGTGAAAGAGTCCGGAGAGATAGAGAGGAGAAGGAGGAGGAGGGAGAGATTTAATAGAGACTGAAGAGTATCCGTCAGCCTGGTATCGGATTTCAGATTTATTAGAAGAAAGGAGTGGATATCACTTCCTGTTCTTGCTTGATTAAAATATATGGTTTCATTTACTCCGTTGATGTACGTGTATACATGTACGGCAGGGTTTAGGCAGAATCTCTGACTTGGATACTCAAATTATGTATACATTGTACAAGCTTTGTTTATCAATGCATTTAGGTGTGAAAGAAATTATTGTTAGGTATTGAAAAGTGTAAATTTCAATTTAGGATGCTGTCTCCATCTGGATGAGTAACATAGTTAAAGGTGATTGCTTTTTGCCTATAAAGCAGGTTACTCTGCAGTGCAAGTAATCTCATACAATGTATATTGTTAAAGGTGTTTGAAGTATAATTTGCTAGGTTCATTTTCTACTTAGATTTTTAATAATATGTTGATTGTTTTATGGGGCAGGGGTGTGAGGTTGGAGAAGGCAAATCTGATGAAACGATTCACTGTAAGTGTAACTTGCAGATATTTTTGTTATGCCTATATCCCCATAGAGGGAGACATTTCACATTTTCTGTTTCCTGCACTGTTCACATTAGCCATTAGATGATCAAACATTCACCCTCTTCACATTGCCCAGACTGGGTCCCATTTGATTCACCTTATAAATATCAATGAGACATTTCTATAGCAAATTTGCTCACATGGAATCAAATGCAGTGATTTCAGTATCTCATAACAGTTAATTGAACTTTTTTTAAATAAATATTAATAACTCGTTTTTGTGAAACAAGGTCTGATGATATGTTGGGGTCAAAGGTCACTTCTCAAGAAAGCCATTTGTGTGTTTTATATCACCACGTTGATACAAAGCTACAGTATAGCAATTGCTGGGTTCACCTACTTCAAGGATTTGAGTTAATGATTACCATTTTAGCAAAGTAATAATAGAATATCATTTTGTAATGAGAAACACATTGGCCCGAATTCTCAAAGGAGGTTTGTCGACAAACCTTGGTTTTCGTACGTCATATGAGGCGTTTTACGCGTTTTTTACAAACCTGGTTTGTAAAGAACAAAAGGAGGTTTGGCGAAACAAAAGGAGGTTTGAGCTCAAACCTTGGTCTGAGCTCAAACCTTGCTTTGTGAATTTGGGCCATTGTTTTGTAATACAGAGTAAGTACCAGCATTTTTGAAATAGTGATGAAAATCCTCTGTTCAACGATTTTAATGAGTCTCTTAAAATGACAGTGATCCATAAAACTTACTCTTTTTCCCCTGTGTTTATTATATAGCTGCATATATGAAGATGTTATTGCTAGTCATTGCCAGTGACATGTAGGGCTACATGAAGAAATGATATTAAAG